CCTAGTTTGATTGATAACATTTCAGCTATAATGTCATCTTATTAATAAACTTTTCTGTATTGAAATTGTTAAAATATGAAGACTGAGATCTGCTTGCAACATAAACATCTGATGACATTGGAGGCCACCACCTCTGAGTAATCTTTCCCTCTTTTCTCTCCTTCCCTTACTCTCTACAAACCCTTATTTGCTCTGTCTTGCTACTCTTATCACTTCTACTTTATCTCTGACCCTTCATCTTCCCCTGATCAGATCAAGCCCTTATTATTGTCTAGACTATCCTAATAGCAAGTTATCTGGCATCAATACTATGGCTAGACTGAAAAATGTCCTCCTAAGTTGGGTAGGTAGATGGGAGAGAAATTCCCCTTCTTCCTTTCTCTTCTCCATACTCTTGCCACTGGACCCAGATGGCTCCGGAGGTGCAAGTGAGGCTGGTGACCTTGCACAGCTCTCCCTCACTTAAATCCAATTCGCTTGCATGTCATGGCTCACCTCCCTGATGTCATGGTCTTCTTCAGGAACACTGGACAAACAACAAAATCAATCATACTTTCCTATCTCCCAGATATCACTGGCATACATAGGCACTTAATAAATGCTTGTCTCCCCCATGCCCCAGGCAAATTCTCCTTATGGAGGTTTTGTTTACTTGACACATTCTTGTTCAAATGTTGTAAAAAAGATGGACGGGTTCTACCAAGTTCAGTGCTTCCTCTTCATTCTCAGACAGGAAGGGCTGACCTGAGCCTCTGAGTCTGTGGGGTGATTTTAGCTCCTCCTTTGGTGACAAAGCATGAGAAATGTCCTTGCTCAGGACTTCCTGTCCTGGAACAGTCCAAAGTTTCTGACGTGTGGAATGTTTCTGCTGGGAGGGACCTCACAGCTCTTCTTCAGTCCTATCCCCCAGAGTGATTAATAAACTAAGTCATTCAATTTGAACCTTGTAACAGCTTGCAACAAATACCAGTGGACAAGTTCTGGAAACTAGGGGCTTTTAATCCTGGTTCTGATCCTTCAGGAGTTATTTAGGCCAGGTCATTTCATCTTGATGCAGCCTAATTTCTTATCTGTGAAATAATAAGAATGATGATAGCTTGCATTTCATTATTTTATACAATATTTTATTTAATATTATTTTATTTTTTCCAATCACATGTAAAGGAAATATTTAACATTCATTTTTTATAAAATTTTGAGTTCCAAATTTTCTCCTTCTTTCCCACTCCCTACGACAATAAGTCATTTGATATAAACTATATATATGATCATATAAAACATATTTCCATATTAGTTATGTCATGAAAGAAGAAAAAGTTTGCAAAAGGACTTACCCGTGGTCTCAATAGCTAGGAAGAGTCAGAGCTGGGATTTGAACCCAGCATTCTTTCCACTATGAAACACTAGTTTGTACAGTCTAACATCACAGAATCTGTCCAAAACCCAATTTGTTTTCTTCCCAACCAATTTTCTGGTTCACTTGACAAGACCTTTAGGAATAAAAATTTAGAGTTGGGGGGATCTCAGAAGCCAAGTAGCCCAACTCTTCATCATTCAGATGAAGAAACTGAAGCTTGGACAGTAATTTACCCAGGGTCGCACAGCTAGTAAATATCTGAGACAGGGTTTGAACCCAGGTCTTCCTGATTCATATTCCAGCACTGTCCATTACACCATGATACCTTTCTCCTTCTAACTCTTGGAAATGTCTCCAGTCACCCTCTCGATGTCAATTCATCTTTCTACGGGCTTCTTCCATTTGTCCTAGCATTTGCTGGGATGTTGTAACAGCCTTCCCTAGCTGATCCATTCTGTCCTCCCTCTAATTATTCCTGAATCTTGCTTTCTTTGATCCTTCCTCAAGTGAAAGCCCTTTGCCTGGCATTCAGGAGCCTTCATTGTTTGGCCTTACCCTACCTGGCCAAACATAGTTTCAGCTGTTCTCCAAATTATACTTAGCCAAGCCAGAGAGTGTGGTATAGGGGGAGGGTTGCAATGGGACAGTTATAACACGAATATAGTTAAATAAAGACAAAATACTGTCTATCAGTTTAGTACTTCCAATAATTCTCTTACTTTTCTTCTCTTCTTCCCTGTTAAATGGACACTTTCAGAGATCAGGAACCTACATTTTTTGCGCCCCTCAATACCGAGCACATAGGATTCAATTCAATTCAAAAAACATTTATTGAAGTACTTCGAATACACTGACTGCCCAAAAAGGAGCCTGAATAAACGGTTTCAATTGAATTGAAAGAATATTTGCAGATTCCGTAAGCACATCTCCCATAAACTGTCTTGGGAAACTCTTTAGAAAAAGCCCTAGTCTTTGGGAGGGACCAGGAGGCATTGAGTCTGTTGGTGGAATATAAAACAAGCCTCAGTTTTCCTTATCTACAAAACAAAGAGGTTGGAATAGATGGTTTCTATGGCCCCTCCAGCTTTCATGCTATTAGGGTGTGAAGAGGGCTGGATTAGGAGTCAGAGGCTCTAGGCTGGAATTCCATCTCCAGTTACTCACCTAATAGATGGAAGGACAGTCTTGCCAGCCACACCCCCACCAACCCCAACTGTGACCCACTATTGAGTGATGGAAGTAAGCAGAACCAAGGGTCAACCAAAGAATTTGGGGTCACAGAACCTGGGCTCAAATCCAGGCTCTGTCACTTGTTACCTGTGTCACCTTGGGTAAGTCACTGTCCCTTTGTGCTTTAGTTTCCTCATCTGCAAAAGAAGGGATTGGACTAGATGTCTGCAATATTCTCTCCAGCTCTAATTCTTTGATATCCTGCAGTTCAAATCCTGCTTCAAACATTTACTAGCTGTGTGACCCGGGGTAAATCATTTAACCTGCTCTGAGCCTCAGTTTCCTCATCTGTAAAATGGGGATAAAAATAGCAAGCCCATTTCACAGGGCTGTAGTGAGTATCTAATGAGATAACGGATGTAAAGGGCTATGCAAACCTTGGAGTTCCATATGTGTACTAACTCTCATTAGCTAATGGCATGCTCACTCAGAGCCAGGTGAGCAGCTTGGCCATGAATCAGGGGCAAGTTTGGTAGCCAGTGTTCCTAGGCCTTTTGTAATCTGGATGGACCTGTTGCTGATTCTTTGGCCAGTCAAGAAAATGGGCATTGTGAGCCATTGCCACCAGGCTTGTTGACTGCTTCTGTTTTCAGATGAGCTTGGAAAAAGCTCTCTGCTGCTTATGTGACTTTATACCCTTGCATCTAAGGCACATACATGGCCACCATTGCTGAGTTGTGAAATACCCCCAAGCAGAAGTTGCTGACGGGAGTAGTTGGGGGGCAGATGGCAAGGACTACATTTGGACAGGAACAAATGTCACTCATAGTTTAGTAAAAGGGATGACAGCCCAGTTGAAAATTCACTCTTGTCTTCAACTTATACAAGACTTACTTCCACATCACTATATATATCTTGTATGTATGTACATTTTGTTTTTTTCCTTGTTGTCTTTCCCATTAGAACGTGAGCTTCCTGAAGGCAGGAACCATGTTTTTGTCTTGCTTTGTACCCCCAAGGCTTAACATAGTGCTTTGGCACATAATAAGCATTTAATAATTGACTGACTTGAGGTGAACTACATGAGTATCTCTAATTCTTGCCCATTTCCATAACATCCACCCCTAGATTGTACGTGATTTCTCCTTTAATCTTAGCTCTAATTCAGTTTGGGTTAACAAATATGTATCAAGTGCTGACCATGCTTGAGAATTTCCTCCTTTTGTCTGTGGGAAGTTTTCTTTTTTTGATAGCTAAAACAGAGTCTTTATGCTCATGGAGCCCACAGTTTAGTGGGTAGGACGTAGCGTGGGGGAGTCAGACACCAACACAACCATCATACGCCATATTACATAGATAATTAAAGAAGTTCCCACTTCAGTACCCTGATGGATCTGTGTTCTCATCAATATGAGTATTCTCTCTAGCAGGTCAAAGCCTATCCTTGCCTACCTATCCTATATGGCTCTTATCTTGTCCATGTCTTCTCATAAAGCCACCAAAGAACTCAACATTACTAGGGTGCTTCACCCAGTTTTTCCTGGGCTCTTTATGGTGTGCATCTTATCAATAAATCCATCAGTTGGGTCATTCGTTCACCAATTGTTGTTTTGTTCTCATTTTTTTTTCCAACCATACATTTCTCTGATGCTTTCCTTCCTTGATATCTCTCCATTGTTTGGGTTTTCTCAGCAATGATTCTTTGGAAAACTGGCTTCATATGATGCACAGTCATAGGATATCACCAGAAGAATACTGGTTTTTAAAAATATAGGTTTCAGAGAGAAGCTTGGGTTAATTAAAAGAACTTTGCGGTTTCCCAAAGGCAATCTCACTCTTACTTTCCTATTCAAATCTAGGGCAAGTCAGCAAGAGTATATTAAATGCCTACTATGTGGCAGGAATTAAGGTACAACTCATTTGTTCAAAATATTAGTGATAGGTGAACTTTATATCCAAGTGCCTATCATAGTTTGGACAATAGAGATTCATCCACTTGATTTTTCCTGTTTGGATAGTCACAAACCAAGTAAGAGGTTAGAGACTATGAATTTACTTACTTGTGTATGTGTATGCCACTTTCTTTACTTTCCTCTTTAATTCTTTACTATTCTCTTTAATTTCTTTGTGTTGAGAGTCCTTCTTTATTATATGGAGCTCTGGGACCCCCTGTCCCAGACCCAATTCTATAATTTCAGCAATAGTTGAGAATAATCCTCAGATTGCAACCCAGCTGAACAACACAGTCTGGGTACTTTGGCCAGCCAGTTAAATTAATGGTAATGCTAGTTAATGGTACTTGAGTTAATGATACTTGAGTTTGTTATTAGTTTTGTTATTTAGCAGTCTTCTTTATCTATTTAGCAATTCTTCTTTTAGTTCAATTATTTCTGGCTGTGCTGATTGCCGTAGGCCACTTGTCAAGCTTTTAGTTCATCTCCTGTCTTCCCCTCTTGTCTTTTTTTTGTTGCAGTGTACAAATGTGGGAGGAATGAATTCCAGTGCCTAGATGGAAGGTGTATCTCCTATAAGTGGGTCTGCGATGGCACTGCTGAGTGTGGGGATGGATCTGATGAAACCCTGGAGACCTGCTGTAAGTCACCTTTGACCTTCTAAAACAGGGGGGTCTTAGCCTCTTTTGTGTCATAAATCCCTTTGGCAGTCTGGTGAAGTCCATGGAAACCTCATCAGAAGAATGTTTGTTTTTGAAAATTCATAATCCAAGGAAATGCTATGTTTTAGTTAGAAGTTACTGAAAACAGAGATGATTTTTTTTCCTTCCAAATTGACTGACCCCCCCTGGAGTCTACAGGGGTCTGTGGATTCCAGGTAAAATGGGGATAATAATAGCAACTCTTCACTGGGTTGTTGTGAGAATCTTGCTCGGTCTAAAACATATGATCTCACTATGATGGAGAAAAACAGAAAAGAAGATTTAAGGGAGTTAAGGGCTGTCAGTGATTAATCTCTGTTAGGAATTGGGAATGTGCGAGTGGACTATGGGTACATGTATAGACCTGGCTGTCTTGAAGAGCAGTCTGTTCGTTAAATGTGAACTAATTAGTTCAGCCAAATGATGCTACCCCAAAATAGCTTGGAACCATTTTGTCTCATAAAATAACAATTGGGTGTTTTCTTTTGAAAGTATATATTTTTTACCTTAAAAAGGAAAGCGATTAAACTAATTATACATCTTTTTGGGGGGGCTTGGTTGGTTTTGGGGTTTTTTGTATTTGTTTTTTGTCTAGACTCATGAGTCCATCGTTGTGGGAATCCCCCTCCATAGATATAGATAGGTACCTGCTCTGCCACTTACAATATTACAGTGTTGCCTGGGTCACTGAGTCCCACAGCTTCGGTATATGGCAGAGGTGGGGTTTGAGAGCCACCTGTACTGCACCACCTTCACTAGCAGTACTAATTCCTTACACTTATGTCATACTCTGGATAGTTTACAAGATGCTCACCTCACAACAGCCACGTCAGGAATGCTATTAGTTGAGCTTGTGGGATCCCTGTCACGATGACTCTCATTTCTGTAGTGAGGTTACAAAGTTAGAGTGTTTTCTTCACCACAACCTTATGAGACAGGGCCGTTGTTCCCATTTCACAGAGGAGACAGCTGAGGCTTTGAGAGAGGTTAAGGGACTTTTCCTTGTTCACACAGCCGGTATCTAGGATGTGATTCAAACTTAGGGTCTTCCCACCCTAAGTACATCCTTCTTAATACTCCATCATACTGCTTTTCCATCATAAAGCCAGAAGGGCTCATCATTAGGCACCCCTTCCCCCATTTTACACATGAGGAAGTTGAGGCTTAAGAAGAGGAAGAAGAATTGCCCAAAGTCATGATTCCTAAATGGCTGAGCCAGGACTCTAGTGCAGAGGTTCTGTCCCCACCCACTACCCCAGGCAGCCTCTTAGTCCTGCTCTTTTGCTGTTTAAAAGAAGGTTGTTGCCATTTGTCGTAGCGTCTGTGACATGCAAACTTGGGGAGTTCAGCTGTGGTGGCCGCATTAATCGCTGCATTCCCTTGTCCTGGAAATGTGACTCCCAAACCGATTGCGAGAATGGTTCAGATGAACGAGATTGCCGTAAGTATAGAAAGGTGCTGAGCAGGGTGGGTGTGATTTAGAGGGCTCTTGTAAGGACTTGCTAGAGCCATGAGAGCTAACTTCAGACCTCAGATGTTAGCTGATTAAAATCTAGTGTGGTTTTCGAGAATACCGCAGTCTCTGTGATACAGTGACAATTGGTGTCTCAGAAATCATCAACTTTGACTATTTGGGAATTTACCCGATGACCTGTTTAGTATCACTTCCTCCTCAACTCTCCAGCACTACTACCCTTAGTCATTTCCTTCCTGAAACACCTTCCCTTCTCTTCTCCATTCATAAATCCAAATTCTGCCCGTTCTTCAGGGCCCTCTATGTTTCAGTCCCACCTCTTCCTTTTTTGCCCCCTTTCCATCTCCCACTCATCTCCCCCTTTTCTGAGCAGTACTTAAGTGTCTCACCACATATCAGATTTCATCAGTGGGTGTTCTCCCTTCCCCGACAGAGACTATAGCACTTCCATACCTTTTTTTCTTTTTTCTTTTTTTTCAGGGGGGGGGTAGTATTTTTAGCACTTAGGATGGTGCTTGGCATACATAGTAAATATTTAATAAATGCTTATTGGTTGAGGGCTTCACAACTTTATTGCATACCTTTGTGTACCCATCCCCTAATTATTTCAAGTGTATAAATCCTGTCTCTCCATCCAGGATGCAGGCTTCTTGGGATAAGGCACAGTACTTGTACCTGTACTAATTCATTTGTCCCCAAGGCGTCTACTCCAATACTGAGTCCATAGTAACTTCCTAATAAATGCTGGTTGCTGCCTGACTCATTTATGACCCAATTATGTTCAATTATGAGATTAGAAAATTCATTCATGTAACAGCCAAAGGGTTCTGTTGTAAGAGGTATTTGAGGCAAGCAGATATGCTTGAAAATCACCTGATTTCCTTCTCTCCTAGCCCCTAAGACATGTGCCCAAGACCAGTTCCAATGCCATAATGGAAACTGCATCTCCCAGGATTTTGTCTGTGATACCGACCAGGACTGTGAGGATGGAAGTGATGAGCTGAATTGTCCAGACCCCACTTGCAATCCAGAAACATTCCAGTGCAACAACACTGTATGTATCCCCAAGCTATGGGCCTGTGATGGCGACCAGGACTGTAGTGATGGCTCTGATGAATGGCTTGACAACTGTGGAGGACACAACTTGGTGAAGGAATCCAAGCCTTGCTCTTCTCTGGAGTTCCACTGTAGCAGTGGGGAGTGTATCCACATGAGCTGGAAGTGTGATGGGAGTTATGACTGCAAAGACAAGTCTGATGAGGAGGGCTGTGGTACGTCCCCAGAAACTTAATTTCCCATAGATAATTGGCATCTTTTCTTCCAATGCAGTTTACCATCCTGTCATTACACTGCTTAACAAATCTCCAATGCCTACAGGGCAAAATCTACTCTTCAGCCTAGCACTGAAGGTCTTCCCCATTCTATCCTTCTACCTGTACATCCACAATAAGCACTGTCCATTTATCCAGCCAGACTAGTCATCTGATTGTTTCCCCTCCCCTCATGACTGTTACTGCCTCTGGTCTCCTTTCTTGGTCCCCTGCTCTGGAATGCCTTTTCTTTCTTCTCTCCAATGGTCTTGAGTTCTCTTCTCAACTTTCAAGGACCATTTAGAAACATAGGATTTGTTTAGAATTGGAAGGAACCTTAAAGATCCTCCAGTCCAGTCTCTCATAGTTTAATAAGCTTTTTTAGGGAAGTGAAATTGCTTCCCCAAGATCACAGAGGTAATAAATACATGAAGGCTTATGTAGGAATTTTTTTTTATTACTAAGGCTCCATGAAAAGTCATAAGGCCTTAGGAAACTATAAGTTAAAGGGTAGTGGCTGTAAGGAAAGGATAGGGGAGGAGATTCACTAAATGGGTCAGTTAGCCCAATGTGCTTGCAACTCTTTATCACCTCCTTCATAGAAATCTTCCTTGATTCCTCCCCAAATACTTTTATTACTCATTATATGCATCACTCATTTGTCACTCTTGATTGATTCTTGTGTCTAAGTCCTATGTCCATGGTAAGATTCCTTGAGGGTAAGCACTGCTTTAAAATAGTGATTCTGCCTTCTCTTAAGTACAGTCCACTAGAACATTCCATCTAAATGTTAGTTCCTTAAAGGTAGGGACTGTTTTAATTTTTGCCTTTGTATTCCCTTTGTGTATGCCTGTGCATCCACTTTGTCTCTTAGACAATTTTCCCTTTTCTTTCTCATGGGAATTTTTTGTCTTTGTGTCTTCTTTGTAACCTACATGTAAACCCACTCCTGCTTCTGCCATGTGCTTCTGCTGCAAGTCTCTGTCGGCTGCTCCTGGAGGAAGTAAACTGCCCATTGTGAGTGAGCACAGGTTCTCCCCCTTTTAGAAAGCATGTCTGCTCTTTCATGTACTGGTCTGTTTTCCTCAAAGTTCAAGAAAGAGGGAAATCAGCTTGCTTTTGTGGATCACCGGGAGGGGTGGCTCTTTGAACAACAGTCCATCCTCCTGAGTGTCAGACAGCCAGTCATCGGGAGTTCTGTATGTTCTCTCAGCAAGGTGCAAGTAGTTATGCCTTTACCACGTCTTAGAGACAGTCCCAGTCCTAGGAGTTGTCTATGACCTCTAAGTAGGGTGCCATTGGGCATGCTCACTTCCATGGGGAGATGTCTCTTAGATCTTCTAAGGCATGTCCTGTAATCTCAACAGGTTGATTGAAAGAAATCGTCTAATTAAATAGAGACTCCCCTGATCAACTTCCTCATCTATTTTTCTTTTTTTTTTCTTTTTTTCCTCATCTATTTGTAAGAGCTTCATTGACTGGGCTGACTTATTCTCTTGAATTTTTGTCTACGAAATCCTACTAATTCTTTCTCTGAATTAATTGAAAACTGCTCTTCTAAAATCTACGGGATATGTCAGACTGACCCAGATTCCTTCTCCTTTTCTCTTATGGACTCTGAAGTGGAGGGTTCACATACTCCCAAGATTCCTATTACTACTACCTCAGTAGACAGTTCCTCATATTTGGGGAGAATTACGTCCAGAATAGAAGTGCCTTTCCTTATTTCCTCCACCTTTTTGATGAAAGAACTGATCATCAAAGCAAGTCCAGAAGTTACTGTTATCTGTTTTGCTTTTGGCAGAGAGAAAGCTCAGACTGATGCATTCCCAGATCACTTACTCATCCATTACTAAATTCTTCATCTATTTTTTTTTCCTTTTTATCAAAGTGGTCTGTAGTATCCCCCAGTAAAAATAATCATTTCTGCTTCTCCCTTTGTTGACCATCTCCCAGATGTTCTCCACTGTGCTTCCTGCTTCTGGTTTCTGAATTTCCTCATGGGAGTACATCTTCTTAATAGCTGTAGTTATATGCCATCCTCCTCACTTGTATTCCTTTTGCCTTTTCTTTTAACTACAGTACACCCTTCCAGAGTCATATTCTTTTTTTTTTAAATTGAAGTCTTTTATTATATTATAATGTACTTTCTTCTAAGCAAGAGGTTATCTAACCAGTTTGGAAATGACAGATGTGGGTTTTTTTTGTTTTTTTTTTTTTAGGCAATTGGGGTTAAGTGACTTGCCCAGGGTCACACAGCTAGTAAGTGTCAAGTGTTTGGTCTGAGGCCAGATTTGAACTCAGGTCCTCCTGACTTCAGGGCCGGTGCTCTATCTACTGCGCCACCAAGCTGCCCCTCAGAGTCATATTCTAATAGTGGGTGTTAGCCAACAAAGTCTCTTTGATACCTGTGATGTCAAATTCACCTTCTGGCATTAGGATTTTTAGTTTACCTTATTATCCATACTTTGTGCATTTATATGAGATCGTGGCTTTGCTGCTGGCTCCTTTCTTGGATTTTTTCCACTCTGAATTTCCAGGAGTCCCTTCATAGGTTGGTGGATCTATGTAAAAAGTTTACTTCTTTCAGTTTAAAGCCATTTTTTATTATAGAACATAGATTTAGAGCTGGAAGGAACCTGAGAGAATATCTATCTAGTTCAACTCTCTCTCTCTCTCTCTCTCTCTTTTTTTTTTTCAGTGGAGGTAACTGAGACCTAAGTTAAGTGACTTGCCCAAGGTCACAAAGCTGTCAAGTGACAGAAATGAGATTTGAACCCAGGTCCTCTGATTCCAAGTACACTCTTTCCACTGTACCATTAAATATGAGGTCCATCCCTGGCTAGGAATTTTTCATTCCTATATTATGGGCCATGGTCCAGGAACCCAAATCCTCTTCTCAAACACCATCTTCTTAACCATATGCTAACTTACTTTACCTTGCCTTTATTCCTGCCTTTGATTGGCAGCAGTGATAAAAACACCATCTGTGTTTCAGAGGTCTTCAGTCTCTTGCCAACATGTCATAATCCTTTTCAGTGCTTTCTAGTTTCATTTTAGCAGTATTATTTGCGCCTGAATGAATCATCAGAAAGAAGCAGGTTGAGAAATCCCAGCTTGGCCAAGTCTTGAAGTACCTGGTTCTGTGTCACACTCCAGATAGATGCCCCAAGGAAACCAACAACAGACTTCTTAACAAGCAATAGGCCCTGAGCAGAGCATCTCCAACCACCACTACTGGTTTCTTCTTCCCCTGCCCTGTACTGGATGGCTCTTACCTGACACCACCTGGGAGTCCACATCCTCATTCCTTGGAGAACAGGCAGCAGCTTTTTCCTTGAAAAGAAGGTTCAACTCCCTTTTCTTCAGGAAGGCTCAGATGTGTAATGCCAGTTGTCCCTTTTCATCTTTCTCTGTGTCACATTCTTCCAGACTGCAGCCTCCTGACGTTGGTCAAAAATGTCCTCCTCCATCCCCTTTCTCTTTCAGAGTCTTTTTCTTCTTTTTCCCCCCACACTTAGACCTTCCATTTTTCTCCCCAGTAGATGAACTGGAAGTGTAGAGAGCTGCTTCTCTTGGAGGCTTCCACCATCTTTTCAAGTCTTTGATTTTAGATAGCTTTTGCAGTTCAGATGCAAGTTAACACCATTCAGAATGCAGTCTTTGTAAATATTGCTGGGTTTTGTCCACAGGGAAACCAAGAATAGGCCCTCTCTACTTGAAGTGAAACACAGGACCCTTCTTTCCTAGTCAGGGAGTAATTCCTTCCTTCCTTCTCTTCCTTTACCTTAGTGGCAAACGATTAATCTATCCAACCCCCAATTGTGCATCCACTTTGGTCTCTTAGACAATTTTCCCTTTTCTTTCTCGTGGGAATTTTTTGTCTTTGTGTCTTCACAATTTCATTGTAAACCCACTCCTGCTTTTGCCATGTGCTTCTGCTGCAAGTCTCTATCAGCTGCTCCTGGAGGAAGTAAACTGCCCATTGTGTATAAGCACAGGTTCTCCCCCTCTTAGAACGCACGTCTGCTCTTTCATGTACTGGTCTATTTTCCTCAAAGTCCAAGAAAGAGGAAAACCATTTTGCTTTTGTGGATCACTGGGAGGGGTGGCTCTTTGAACAAGAGTCCATCCTCCTGAGTGTCAGACAGCCAGTCAAAAATGTCCTCCTCCATCCCCTTTCTTTTTCAGATTCTTTTTCTTCTTCCCCCCCCTCCCAATTTATCAGGTATATTTTAACTCAGCACAGTACATCCTAGCCTGATGTTTTTTGAAATGGAAATAAAGAATTGAAATGGGTGTGATGTTTTTCTGACTACAGTGTTACTTTTGTCAACCAGACGGGAACCGGCCTCTAACCTGCGGGTGGTGGGAGCCAAACACAGCAGGCTAGAGACAGGAGAGTCAGGAATCAAATAAAATTTAATTTCAAAGTGAGGGAAGCTTGGCTTGTTAGAGCCCTGCCCTCAGACTTGAGGCAGTGTGAGGAGATTTCATTACTTATACTAATGGCTGAGCAGTGAACTGTAGCCCTGATGATGGAGGGTAACAGCAACAATGTGACGAGTTTGATTCATAGTGGGGCTTCATGACTAGAACTTGTCTGAGCTCAGAGAGCACCTGGTGCTGGTCAAAGCAATGCAATGATTACACCAGAGGGTGAGCGCAAAGGATGGTTGTTATGCCAAGCTCAGGGCAAGCTTCCTTGCTGGGTCTTAGCTCTGGAAAACAGGGTTTCTCCTCATATCCTGACATCTACTAAGTTTTTTTCTTTTAATCTAAATATCTGCTCTCCCTGGTTACTGTGCTCCGTCTTAAAAAGGGGGATTTAAAAAAACGACAACAAAACATCATTCTCCTGTTGGGGAATTTCTGCATTGATGATAACAATTTAAAAACATTATCGCTTGGTCTTTCATGTTCTCAGTCAAAGCCACCTGCCGCCCTGATGAGTTTCAGTGCAATGATGGGGAGTGTGTCCATGGGAGCCGGCAATGCAACAAGGAATATGACTGCAAGGACATGAGCGATGAAATAGGCTGTGTCAACGGTGAGGCCCAGCACACTGTTGCTCCAAAGGAGTTCTGGACATGAGCATCACTGGTAGGAGAGGGAAGTGGTGCTTAGCCAGGGAATTTTGCAGTTCTGATTATTTTATTTATATGGGTGATTTCATAAACACAGGGATCTCCCAATGAGGTTACCATTGGTTCTGCCACTCAAGTCTTAGAGAGCTGTTGGGGCAATGAGAGGTTAAGTGTGTCGGTCTCGCCAAGGATTAAAGAGCCAATGTATGTTGAAAGTGGGGAATTGAACCCAGGTGTTTTTGATTCCAGGACTGGTTCTCTGTCAACTGTGCAGCGCTCTCTTTTGAGATTGGGTTTATTACTGAGAAGACTTTAGAAAAAATGAATGCACGACTTTCCAAGTCTCAGCAACTTCCCTATGCCTAATGGTATTTTTTTCTCTTCTTCCCATTTTTACTGATTATAGTAACACTGTGTGAGGGCCCAGACAAATTTAAATGCCACAGTGGAGAGTGTATCACTTTTGACAAAGTGTGTAATGGACCCAGAGACTGTCGGGACTGGTCTGATGAACCCATCAAGGAGTGTGGTAAGACCAGAACCCCTGAATTTGGCTATTAAGAGATTGGAAATGAGAGCTGGGCTTCTAGTCTACTTGAAGGGTGTGGGGGAGGGTGCCTTCTCTCTGAGGTAAACATGCAGGCCTGGATCGGGGGTGTCCTTAATCTATTTAGGAGTCCCAGATGACTCTAGTAGATTCATTCTTAACTTTCTTCCTTGATGCTGATTCTAAAGGATGACAGGCCTGCCTTCTTCCCACCCAATCTAATGACTTCTTTCCCTCTTTAAAGTTGTCCTTATCGTTTGTTTTAACTTGATTAGTCACCTGTATAAAAAAATTTGTGGACATGTGGAGAGAACTTAGAACCGCTCCTTCCCCTTTAACACACAGGCCTGCCTTGAGGCCAGCAGAGTTGAGAAACCCTTGAGTGTGAGGAAGAGTTCAGAAAAATCTGAAATGACAAGGGCATACAAAGGAGAGAGTCTTGGGTCCAGAATTTCACTGTGTCTTCTTTGCTCAGGAACCAATGAATGTCTGGACAACAAAGGTGGCTGCTCACATATATGTAATGACCTCAAGTTAGGGTATGAATGCCTATGCCCCGAAGGCTTCCGGCTTGTTGACCAAAAAAGATGTGAAGGTAAAATTCTGAATGTTGTTCCCTCTATTTATGTCTCCTTGATGTGGTAGGTTCATGGAGAATATTTTTGCTAATGTGGGATAGTGGAAGGAGATCTGGATTTGGATCTAGAAGTCTTAGGTTCAAATCCTTCTTCTGCTTACATCTATGCCATTGGGCAAGTTACTTAACTTCTGTACCTCAGTTTATCTGTTAAATGTGGAGGTTGGAGGAGAACCTCTAAGATGTCTTCCTGTTCTGCATCGATGATCCTAGGAATGTATGAGTTGGGAAAAACTACATAAGCTTCAGTTTCCTTATCTGTAAAATGGGTATAATTATAGCACCTACCTCCCAGAATTGTGAGGATCAAATGAGATAATAATTGTAAAGTGCTTAGCACAGTACCTGACACATAGTAGGAGTTAATAAATGCTTATTGACTGAATGATTGGTCTTTATGCTGTTTAACGTTATTATCAGTGTCTTAGATGGCCTACTTATCAAAATATCACTAGCACTGTAAGATGATACAAAGCTGGAAAGGTTGTGGACTTAGATAATAGCATTAGGATTAAAGAAAAAAATTGATGGGACTAAAACACTTGATGGGACAGAATCTTACATAAAATAAAAGTTAATAGTGATAAATGTAAAGTCTTACATCTAGGACCCAAAAATCAATTTCTCAAGTTGGGGTGGTGAAGTTAAAGTTCATCAGCAAGAGATTTGGGGTTTTTTAGATGAGCTAAGAGCTCAGAATAAGTCAACAGCTAATGTAATCTTAAGCAGCATTAGGAGATACATAATGTCCAGGCCATGGAAGATGTTATGCTCTGTTCAGCTCTAGGAACCATAGTTTAGGGAGGCTGTTGATAATCTGAAGAGCACCTGAAGGAGGGCAACCAGGACACTGGAGGGCTGTGTCCCATAAAGGTTGAGTAAAGAAACTGGGTGTGTTTAGATAGGAGAAGAGAAGACTTAGGGGGCACATGATTGTTATTTTCAAGTATTTGAAAGACTGTCACATAGGAAAAGGGTCAGATTTATTCTGTATGCCCTGTAGAGCAAAACTCTGTAGAGCAGTGAGTGAGTTACAAAGGCGCAAATTTGGGTTTGACATAAGGGAAATGTCCTAACAATTAAAGCTGTCCAGAAGCGGAATGGGGTGCCTTGGGAGGTATCATTTTCTTCCTCATTGGAAGCCTTTCAAAAAAAAATCTGGCTGACCACCTGTTGGGGATGATGTAGAGGTGGGTAGTCCTTGTTTAGTTGTGGCTTGGACTATCAGTCCCCTCTGAGTCCCTTCTTTATCTTAGGTTCTAGGAGTCTTTTCATCTAGGGAAACCTTTTGGGTTTGAAACACTTTGACGTTCCCCCAGTGCTTGAGGACCCAGGGTAGAAGATATTTTAGAATAAGGTAGAGGAAATTCATTTGTCTTCTCTTAATGGAAAAATCACTGCATAAAATAAATATTTTTGACACATGTATATCTCATAGAGAGGCAGCTTAGTGTAGTGGATAAAGAGGTGGCCTTGAAGTCAGGTAGATTTAGACTAAGTCTTCTTGGCCCACACAGAACAAATGTGGGCCTGACACATGCTGGCTATGGGATCTTTGGGCAAGTGACTTCACCTCACTTCTCAGAGCTCTTAGCAATTCTGGAGGACTGTCTACTTGCACATGTAGAGGGATTCCCCTCACCTAGAGGTTTCTTCGATGTGGAAATCCTAGGTCAAGTTCCTCCCCTCCCCCCCAGAGTCATTGACAGGTAGTGTGGTGCCATGGCTAACTGTCCTTAGAACCAGGAAGACCTGAGTTCAGTTTCCTTCTCTCAATCACACTGGCTGTGCCATTTTGAAAAATTTAATTTTTTTTCAATTACATGTAAAAACAATTTTTAACATTCATTTTTTAAACTGTTGAGTTCCAAATTCTCTCCTTCTCTTCATCCCCTCCCCCCTCCTTGAGAAGGCAAGCAATTTGCTATAGATTTTACATGAGCAGTCATGCAAAACACATTTCCGTGTTTGGCTGAGCCATATAACAATTCTGTGCCCTTGGTAACTCTCCAAGATGAATACATTTCTGAGGAGGTGCCCATCTGTTTTGAAAGAAGGAGTTTATTCACCTGGAAGTACCCTTTGTAATGAATGACATCACAGGTCCAGTTCCTATCCTTGTCCCTTTTCCATCACTGGCTAAGAACTTTTATTTCAAGGATATGATCCCAACCTGAGAAGTTTGAATTGAAAATTTCACTAGCACTGGAATTATCCCCCCATAACTCCCAATCAGGGTTGTTATAAATATTGAATGAGATAATACTTGTAATGTCCTTTTAAAACTGTAAAGCACTATATAAATACCAGCCATTATTGTTATTGCTACCATTATTATTATTGTCATCATTGTTATTATTATGCTTATTCTCAGATATCGATGAATGCCAGAACCCAGACACCTGCAGCCAATTCTGCGTAAATCTTCCAGGAAGTTATAAGTGCGAGTGTAATGAAGGCTACCAAACTGACCCGATCACTAAGACGTGCAAGGCCATTGGTGAGCCCAGACCTCTTGATCTTTTCAGTGGAGGGAAAGGGGGAGGGAAATAATACGACAGAGGAACAAGTGAGAAATGTTGGTGATGGTACTGGTTAAACAAAAAATCTTTAGAGAATTTCGTCACCTAAACTTTGTCATAGAAATCCCAAATGAAACAACAGATCAAAATAACCTGAGGCTGGGAGGAATGCTAGCTCTTCAGAGCTATTGAGTAATTAGAGGAGCACCTGATTGGACATGTTCTCAGGAGCTTGCCTTAGATAAGGCAGGTTTCAACATTTAATAGTGACTTCTTATGTTTGGATTTTTTTTTTTGCGGTTTGCAAAGCACCTTCTGCTGTCCATTATCTTACCTGGTCCTCTGGTAACCACTGGGGCAGAGAGGGAAAGTAAGCAAGGAAGAAGAGGTTATTATTCTTATCTTACAGATAAGGATATCAGAACTCTTAGGGTTTAAGTGCACTGTGCAAGTTTATATAGATAGTAATTGTTAGAGTAGCCAAGAGATTCCATGTCTTCAGATTTCCCGCCCAACAGTTCTTGTTACACAATATCCTCTCATAAGATTATGTAGCAAGTTATTTACTAAAGTTGCTGCTACATATAAGAACCAGAAAATGTCTCTAGTCACTTATTGGTCGCTTGTCAGGGGTATCTTTTCACTCGGGGAACTGAACCAAGAAAATAATGGAATATTCTTCATGGCTTCCTACTGTGTGGAAATCCTGAAATTGGAGAGACTGACTGAGAGAATGAGTGGTGTATGGGGTAAGGGCACTGTATTGGAACTCAGAAGACCTGGGTTCAAATCCTGGCCCTGCTGTGTAACTCACTGTGTGGCCTTGGGTAAAGCCATCTATAAAATGAGGGGGTCTCCTTCCTGTTCTGTATAAGATTGCTAGGTGTGATTGAAGTTGAGAACCATTGCCTTAAATTTCTATCCATTCTCTGTTTTTCCTGCTCCTAAAAGGGAGCAAAATACTGAGATCTGCAGAGTTTTGTTGTCAGTTTTCCTCTAATGGGTTTTACTCATTCTCAGAAATAGTTGTTGCCCACAGATATTAGACAGAGACAGAAAGTATCTTTATTTTCCTATGGGATTTTTGAGTCAGAGTTTGTGGGAAGTCCAAGGGATCATCTTCTCAAGCTGAACTGCTCCCCTTTATGGCCTAGGCACCATTGCCTACCTGTTTTTCACCAATCGCCACGAAGTGAGGAAGATGACTTTGGACCGAAGTGAATACACCAGCCTCATTCCAAACCTGAAGAATGTAGTAGCCTTGGACATGGAGGTTGCCAGTAATAAGATCTACTGGTCTGACTTGTCACAGAAGAAGATCTATAGGTAAAAGAGAATTGAATTTTATTTGGGTTTTCTTAAAATTACATTTCGGTAGTTCCATAGGTTTGGTAACTTTCCCCTGACCTCCCAGATTTCCTCACTAGCTAAGCCCAAAGGCCTGAGGTAAAGAAGGAATTAGTATATTTGCCTGATTCCTTTGATCCCTTTGTTTTGTTCTAGTTCTGAAATTGACAGTGCCCACAGTTTTTCCACTCATGACACTGTGATCAGTGGGGATATCCAGGCTCCTGATGGCATCGCAGTTGACTGGATCCATGGGAATCTCTACTGGACAGACTCTGTCCTTGGTACCATTTCTGTGGCCAATACTAAGGGCTCCAAGAGGAGGACACTTTTCAAGCAGGAAGGTGCTAAACCTCGGGCCATTGTGGTAGATCCAGTTCATGGGTATGTATTTCTAGATGGGACATGATGCACCGTGGGGGTATTAGGGTGAAGGAAATTCATAGTTATTGCAATTTTACTGAAGGCAAAACATTGCCCTTGGAGAGCAAAAGCTAGCCTTTTACCAAGTGAGTTGTAGGGGTTGTATCATATGAGAAGGACCGATGTCTTCCTAGGGACGTGACACCATGGGAACCCAAGCAGCACACAAGAAGTAGTCTGACTCTTCAGGAGGTTCCTTTTTAGAAGCATAGGATTTAAAAGCAGAAGGAGCCTTAAAGAGTATCCAGTCTACTTTGTTTTTACAGATAAGTAAGGTGAAGCCCAGAGAGATTTAGTGCTTGGCTCAGAGCCACAGAGACAATCAGGAGCAGAGCCAGGATCCCTGCCCAGGCTGCCTTGGCTTCTGCTGTGTTATGTAAATGAGCCATCCAGTCGCTGTGAGTTATATAGTCTTTCCTTGAAGTTTGAAAAATCATTTACACAAATATAGGATGAGGGCAACCTGGCTTGATGGCTGTTCCTATGAAAGATACCTGGGGTTTTTAGTTGGCCTCCAGCTCAGTGTGAAGCAAATTTGATGTCACTGTTTAAAGCCCCACTCTAAAAAAAAATCCTCCCAAACTGGAGGGATGTTAGGATGTACTAAAACAAGTGTGGTGTCCTGGTCATAGAAAGATAACACATTTATCAGGCCCTTACCATGAACAAGGATACTATGCTAAATATGGGATAAATACAAGCAAGCAAGACAGTTCTTGTTCTCAAGAAGCTTTCATTTTCTGAGGGAAGATATCACATAAAGAGGAGTTAGGGAGGGGAACAGGGCATGGCAGTGTGTCATGGAGAAGGCTAGCAAGTGGTATAGAGTCCCATTTCTGGACAAAATGGAATGAAAACTCGAGTGTCAGAGCCCAGGGTGGTTCCAGGGTCAGAGTTTAAGGTTCCTCTGGGAAGGAGGTGTGGGGATGATGGCTGAAGTGGAGGTAGCAGGGTGTGGAGGTGGCCAGTCATAGCTAATAATAGTCTTAACTGTACTCAGTACTGGATCCAACCACATTTGGAGAATCGAATTCATTCCTAGTACCACCTTTGAACAATATTGACCTAGTTAGGGCATATCTAAAAGAGGGAGACTAGAGGGATGCCTCCAGGGTATCCAGATGGGAGAGTTGAAGGGACTGGGGATGAATAGCTTGGGGAAGAAAAGACTTAGGGGAGCATGATTGTGCTCATTAAATACTTTAAGGGCTGTTGTGGAAAGAGGGTATACCCTTCCTGTTCTGTGTGGCTCTTTAGGTCAAGCAATTGAAAGTCAAGGAATTAGTTGCAGGGAGGCAGATTTCAGTTTATTTAAAGGAAGAATTTTCAAACGGGAATGGGCTACGTTGGGAGGTGGGAAGTTTTGGTCCTGGAAATGTTCGGGCAAAGGCAGGATAGTACCTTGCTTGAAAGGCGAGTCCTGCATGTTGCTCTGTATAGAGCAGAGCAGCAGGCATAACTGAAGGGTACAAGAACAGTAAATATTAACAATATCCCACCTCCTGCCTCCCACTTTGCAGTTTTCAGAGTCATTAATGAGTTGTAGATCGGCCATTAAAGGTAGATGTCATGCCATCTCTCTACTGAATGAGGCCCTCATGCTGGCTCTTGCTGCAGGAGAATCTGTTGAAGGAAGTAGGGATATTTACCCTAAGAAGATAAGACTTGGTGGACATGATAGCTGTCTTCAAGCACTTGAAGGATTAATGCATAAAGAGAGATGAGGCTTGTTCTGTTTGCCTCCAGAAGGCCAATATGGGAGGATTGTGGTGTCTGTTTATTGCAAAAAGACAGATTCAGGCTTATTGTGAAGAAAAGCTTCTTAATTTCCATAGAGGGATTTATGTACTGGTTGAGAGTTAAATTCCTCTCTGAATGTTAACTTCTGTTCCAGCTCTGAAATTTATAATGCTACTATGACATATGATTTAATGCTCTTCTGAAATGGAATGGGCTACTGCCAGAGGTGGTCAGTTTCCCCTCATTAGGGGCCCTCCAGCAAAGTTTGCTGGATGTGTAGTGGAAGGGATTCTTATTCAGACATAGGTTGGACTAGATGGCCCCCTAGCTCTCTTTTAATTCTGAAATGCCTGATTCTCTGTCAATTTTCATGTCTACTCTTTTTTCCCTCTTCTCCTTCAGCTTCATGTATTGGACAGACTGGGGAACCCCTGCTAAGATTGGGAAAGGTGGTCTGAATGGAGTTGACACCTTCCCCCTGGTGACGGAAGATATACTGTGGCCCAATGGAATCACTCTTGGTATGTTGTGCTGAGGGAAGAAACGTGGATTGGTCAGAAAAAGCAATCCACTTCTGCCAATACGATACCACAAAGTAACTACCTCTGGCTCAGTAGCAAAGAATTTCTTAGTGAGATAGGTGTTGTTTGGGAATAAACAGAAGGATAATGATAAAATGCAAAGTGCTTCAGTATCACTCCACTTTAAGCCCCCAGATTTGATTATTATTTCCTTAGGTTTTATTGTTTCCTTTTTTTTTTAACTTTATGTAATAATTTTGTAGAGCTAAAAATGCTATAATAATAGCCAACATTTATGTAGTGCTTTAAGATTTGCAAAGTGAGCAACATACATTTCCTCATTTAATCCTTATGATGACCTGTGAGGTCAGTGCTATTACTTCATTTTAAAAAATGAAATGCCCTTTGGGATATATTTTGTTTTTACATCACTTTCATTTCCCATTGTGCCCTTCCTCCTTCCCCCTCCCAGGAAGCCATTCCTGATTGCAAAGAATAAAAGAAAAAGGTTAAAAAAAAAAACCAACCTAACCAGAACTTTGAAAAAGTCTGACATTATATGCCACTTTCCTTACCCATGGTCTTGGTCCTCTGCAAGGAAGTGGAGGAGGGGTCTTCTTATTTATTACCCCCTATTATGGTTAAGGAAACTGATGTTATCTTTTTAAAATCAACACTCTTTTCCACTTAATGCCTCCCCACCACCCCTGCATTCAGCTTGGCCTTGTAACAAAGAAAGACATTTAAGCTAAATCAAGCAATTCAATGACCACATCTAACAGTGAGCGTACCATTGCATATTCCTAGTTCTCCACTCCTCTGCTGCTAAGAGGAAGATAGTGGAACCTTAAAAAACAAACAAACAAACAAACAAACAAAAACAAAACAAAAAACCAAAATTCCCTTCCAACTTTATAACACAATATACAAATTGCAGGAAAATTTCACAAAAATTTAGATTTTGCATTTTTTTCTAAAAATGAATGAAATGCAGAGGCATATGACAACTATATTTTCTATAATATGTCTCACCCCTTAGCAGCTACTCCCACAGCTGTCCATCTGGGTATCTTTAACATAGTGGTAACCTCATGACCTTCATTAATGTCTTCTCGTGATTCCTGATTGTGTCATAGAAGTGACCCTGGATTCTTGAAGGCTATGCCCACAGAACATAAACTGTCCAGTCAGGCTCGGGCCCAGCAAGATGGGCTATTCTCCAGCCTCCTTCAGTGCAGACTTCTGCTTCCTAGAAGGCTGACCACCAAGGAATTGTATATTTTGGACCACTCGTGAAAATGATCTGCTAAGACAAGGAGAGGCTATAATGATCTGAATTGGTGGCAGGGAACATAATACCCACACTGATGAAATCCTGCATTTCTTTGGTATTCTGAAGCTGGTGATGAGAGAGAGGGAAAGCAGGAGCTTCTTCAAGGCAGCTAATTGTCAAGCAGTTTTAATGTTTGAAAGGCCAGGAGCTCCAGTGTCTACCGCTGCCCTCACCTTATCTCTGTCTTGTTTGTAGATCTTTCCAATGGTCGTGTCTACTGGGTTGACTCCAAACTCCACTCCATTTCCAGTGTGGACTTCAATGGTGGAAATAGGAGGACTGTTTTAGAGGATAAAAACAAACTTGCACACCCATTCTCCTTGGCAATCTTCGAGGTGAGGCTTTGAGGTAATTTAGGTAGAAAATGCAAAGGGGAGGGGCTCATTTTGCTTATAAGCAAATCTCTTTTCAGGAAACAAGGTTTGCTCTGGATGCTTAATTATGAAAAGGAATAAGCTTTATTACAGGGATTTGGCAAGTGATGTTTCACACTGGAATTTTAAATAAATTTCCTTCCTTCCTCCTTTCTCTCCATCCCCGTAATTATTTTTTCCATCTAAATTATTTGCAAACTGTATCACCTCTTCCTACTTTTTCTGGGTTAGCCCCTTGTCTTAGAGGAAAATGAACTGCATGGTGGAAAGAACATTAACTCTGGGGCCATAGGACCAGGATTTGAATTCTACCATCATTGATCTGATCTGAATAAAGCACTAGACTTGGAATCAGGATGATCTGAGTTTGAATTCTTCTTCAGATAGTTATTGACTCTGTGACCCTGGCCAAGTCACTTAACCTCTCTCAGCCTTGGTTTTCCCTAGCTATAAAATCCAGATAATAATAGCATCTTTATCACAAGGTTGTTGTGGGCATCAGCTGAGATCATATGTACTAAAGTGCTATAGAAAATATTAGTTGGTAGCATTATTATTACCACTGGTAAGACTTAGGGCAAGTCACATAATCTTCCTGGGCCTCAGTTTCCTCATCCCTAAAATAAGAGAGGTTAAATTAGATGGCCTCCATCTATGATCCTCTTAGGTTTATGATCCTTTGATTCTATGATCTTGTTCAGATATAATTTTTATTTGTGAGAGATCAGAGGGAAGGGAGGGCCAGTCCTTAGGATTTCTCCTGTCCTTTTTTTTGGGAGGGATGGGTAGGGAGAGTAATGAGGCAATTGGGGTTAAGTGACTTGCCCAAGGTCACACAATTAATAAGTGTCAAGTGTCTGAGGCTGGATTTGAACTCAGGTCCTCCTGACTGCAGGGCTGGTGCTCTATCCACTGCGCCACCAACTGCGCCTCCTGTTAGTCTTAGTGGTTCATGGGTTCTACTATTCATGCCCTTAACAAAAGGAAGCCATTCTGTGGAGGTGAAGGGCCTGACCTTTTCTGACAGCCTGCTGTGTAGGCATGCATATACATTTGCATATCTGTGCCTGCCCGTTGGGCTGGGAGATTTGGGCTTTATAGAGACTTCATGGGGGCTGGAGAAAACCTATTGGTTAAAAGGATCTGTTGTTCTTAAATGATTCCTTAGGATAAGGTCTTCTGGACAGATATTATGAATGAAGCCATTTTCAGTGCAAATCGCCTCACGGGCTCCGATATCATTTTGGTGGCAGAAGATCTGTTGTCTCCAGAGGACATTGTTCTCTATCACAACCTCACCCAGCCTACAGGTATTAGATTGACTTTTATAGGCTTTCATGGCTTCTTGAAACTTTTCCTTTGTGTTTCTCTGTTTCTTGACTTATCTTGCTGTTCTCCTTTGGAAGTGAATTGTTCTTCCATTTTCACTTATTCATGGTGCTAGATGTGTCTCTTCTAAGAAGAATGTGAGCTGCATGATGGCAAGAGACTGCTTTGGTTTTTGTCTTTGTGCTCCCTGTGCCTTACACAATGCTGTGTGTAAGGGTGTGTAGAGAGAGTGCTCAATGTGAATGTTTGTGAATTGGTATATGTTCACCTCTGTGTTTCCTGGCCTTTCAGGGGTGAATTGGTGTGAAAAGACTTCTCTCCCCAATGGTGGCTGCCAGTATCTGTGCCTTCCAGCTCCACAAATCAGCTCTCACTCCCCCAAATACACCTGTGCCTGTCCTGATGGCATGTACCTGGCTACAGATATGCGAAGGTGTACCAAAGGTAAGAGGCTTCGGGAATCCTTGGCCACCAGCCTTTCAAGGGGACTGTTAAGCCTACCCAGGGTGCATTTTTACTGGGTGAACAACCTATTTGGGGGGATGGCTTCCTCTTGTCTTAGAAAAAGCTCTGAGGTTCCATTATGCCTTTGATATTCTGCTTCAGGTCTCCCCCTTCTGCCTAAGTTCCAATTACAATATTTATGCAGTAGATCACAGTCCTTGGCGTTTAATGAACCCAGGATCTGCATCGAATTTCAAGGAAGCTCTGTGTTGGTCTTGTGTTAATGGAATTTACTAGAATCTTGTTGATCCTTAGGACATTTCTGTTCTTACAGAAGCGATTGTTGTACCTGTTACTTCTACCATGACCAGTGCAACAAAGGAGCCTCCTTCTAAAACAACCACTCTTACTCGATTAGTAACAACTGTAACAACTCAGAAGCAGACGCCCAAACATGGCACTCCTCGCCTCACAACTGCAGAAATGGTTACAATGTCCCAAAAAGGTATATTTCAGGTTGTCCAGTAGGATCATGAATGCCTTTATGACTTGAAAGACTTTACATTGAGCTAATCACCCTGACAATTAAAAATGAATGAGATCTCCTTGCATGGAATTCCTTTTTATAGTCTTCCGCAAAGATACAGGAGCATCACAGAACCTGAGAGAGAAAGGGAAACTTAGAGGTCATCTAGTCCAAACATCCCAAATGGCCCACTTTCCTCTATGGTGTTAAAAGATCTTATGGACAGTAGATAAATCCTAGAGAGTTGCACGGGACACAGCACTTAGCGCAGTGCCTGGCACACAGTTTTATTGATTGATAGTAATTGTGTGAACTTGCCCAACTTTACACAGCTCATATGAAAGGTGCGATTTTAACTTGGGTCTTCCTGATCCTTAGCCCCAGCACTCCCTCTGCTATGCCATGCTGTCCCTATAGATTGACCACTTTCACCCAACAAGGTAATTAAGCTTGATGGAGTTAGTTTGAGGACTTAAAAGTCTACTTTTTCTCAGTAGATGGGAGTGAGGTCATTTGAATTTCTAAAAGAAACATGGTAGTATAGTTCGCTCTTCCAAGTCCTAACCTTCATAAACTAATTATGCATTTTTTTGTTTTTTTGTTTTTTCATCTTCCTCCTTTTACTTACTTTTGTGTGTTTCTTCCTCAGCAGTTCATAATCCATTGGGTATGAAAGATGGTCAGGAGCATCAAGGTGGATCCACAGCTCTCGTCATTGTTTTACCAATAGGTAAGATGCAGATATCCTGCTGGGATAGATGCCCTCTTCTCAGAACATTTTTTTTAAACCTTTCTTCCAACTCCATGAAGCAAAGTCTGCATTTCATTAATATATGAACAAATTTTTATTTAGTCTACAATAAGTTAGCTTTTGGGGAGGAAATAGCATTTGAATTGGACTTCAATGAACAGACATAGTATTCAACAGGTGAAGAGAAATTGGGAGGAATTTACTTAAGCAAAGGCATGGAGGTAGGAAAGTGCATGGAATATTAGGGGGACACCAAATAGCCTAGTTTGGATGGAGCGTAAAGTGGAGTAATATGAGATGAGGGTGGTGCCAAGCTGTAGAGAGCTCTGAGGAGTTAAAACTTTACTTGGGAGGCAGTAGGGAGCCAATGAGGATTTTTGAGCAGAGTTTATTTGCCATCACTTCATCTCTGGGACTTTGACTCCATCCCCCACCGTAGAACCCTTTCTTGTGACTAGTTAGGACATCCAAACAAAACAGATCAGTACATTGGCTGTGTCTCAAAATGTATGTCTCAATCTTTACCTGTAGTCCACCAAGTCTTTACAAGAAGCAGGACACTTGTTTCACCATCAGTCCTCTGAAACCTTGATTGGTCAGTCTTTATCACAGTTCTCAAGTCTTTCAGAGTATCTTTTTTGTATCATCTGTATCATCATGTAAACTGATCTCCTGGTTCTGCTAGGCATCTTTGCTATGTATCAGTTCATATATATCTTACCAAATTTCTCAGATTTATTCATATTCATAATTTCTTATGGTAATTTTCCATTCATATTTCTCTACAATATGTTCAGCCATTCTCCAATTGGTATATACTCATTTTCCTTCTAGTTCTTTGATATGACTAAAAAAATCCACTACTCTAGTATTTTTTTCATATATGGGATCTTTTCCTCTGACCTCTTTGGGGGTATATGCCTAGCAGGAGTATCCCTATGTCAAAGGGTATGCACAATTTAGTGACTTTTAAGAGATAATTCCTACAGTATTTGATCCTACAGTATTTACTAAGTACTGGGGATTATGCTAGGCTCTGGGGAGACAACGACAAAATGAAAAATAGTTCCTGCCCTCGAGCGGCTTATATTCCATTTTACTTCTCTTTCCCTTTCTCCAGTTGTGATCACTTTGCTTTGCTTTGGAGCATACTGGCTATGGAAGAACTGGCGTCTCAGGAACATCAATAGTATAAACTTTGATAATCCCGTCTATCAAAAGACAACAGAAGATGAAGTTCACATCTGTAGGAGTCAAGATGGCTACACATACCCCTCGGTAATTGGCGTGTTTCTTCCTTTAGCCACGTGTCTGACAAATATTCATTGAGTGCACATTGTGTGCCCAGTCCTGTGATAAATGACTTCCCCATGGGGGCATCTGTGGTGTAATTCAAAGACTTTAAGAGCTGGAGGGGACTAGAGAGATCGTTTTGACTAACTCTTTACAATTTTTTATCGCACTTATATTTTTTAATGAACAAAAATTGGTTTTTCTCCCCTCCTCTCCACTCCCATTTAAAAAAAAAAAGATGAAAAACAAAACCTTTGTAACAAATATGAACAATCAGGCAAAACAAATTTCCACATTGGCCATGTCCAAAAATATTTGTCTAATTCTGCACCCTGAGTCCATCCTCGCCTCTCTGTCTGGAGCTAGGTGGCATGCTTCATTGTTAGTCCTTTTGCAATCATGGTTAGTCATTAAATTGATCGGTTCTTAGGTCATTCAAAGTTTTTTATTTTTACAGTGTTATTGTCATTGTATAAATTGTTCTGGAGATGTGCTGTCTTAGTACATGCTTCCTTTCCTCTGCATCAGTTCATACTAGTCTTAACAGGTTTTTCTGAAATTATTCCATTATCATTTAGTATGGCACAATAGTATTCCATTACATTTATATACCGTAATTTATTTAGCCTTTCCCCACTTGACGGACAACTCCTAGTTCTTTTTCTTTCTTTTTTTCTTTTTCTTTTTTTGCTATTACAGAAACAGAAACAGTTTGTGTGTATATATATATATATATATATATATATATATGTATGTATATATGTATATATATATATATATATTTTTTTACGTATGCAACTCCTTCAGTTTGACAGCAGCTAGGTGACACAATAGATGGAAGAATGGGTCTGGAGTCAGGAAGATCTGAGTTCAATTCTAACCTCAGTGTGTAAACATATGCAAACATGGACAAGTCCCTTAACCTGTCTGCCTCAGTTTCCTCAGCTCTAAAATGGGGATAATCGTAGCAAGTGATTTGTCCAAGGTAACAAAATGAGTTGTGACCGGTACAGGGTTTTTGGTGCCTTTGCCCCCATACTGTGCTGCTTCATTATGGATCACTTGTCCCACTCTTGGTATCAGAGCCAAACTTCCTCACCTGTTCTGGTCTGGGAAGCTTCAGAGGGGGTGTTTTGACAACTGAATAGAAGAAACAATATGGCCATTCCTAAACTCTCCTTCTTGCATTTGCAGAGACAGATGGTGAGCCTGGAAGATGATATCGCATGAATGGTTGCCACAAGAAGTGCCTCTTAACCAAAAGTTGCTGCTTATTTACGGGAGGAAAATGCCTTTTCTTTCCCAGTTCCTTTATCAACTGCTCACTTCCCAGGGCAGCCACTGCTACTACTTCCCAAGGGACCTAACTGATATCCTCCCACCTAAAGAAAGAAGAAAAAGGAAAACAAAAGACAAAACAAAGCCACCACCTTCACTCAGCCCCAGAGGAATGGGCTTTGTTGGTGGTGTCTGGGCTAAGCTGGCTGTCTGCTTGGAGTTGTGTTTTATATATTTATTCATCTTGGAGGCAAGGCAGTCAGGCTTCTGATAGGGTCTCTTGAATGATGGTTTTTGTTGGTAATTTCCCTTACGTGTGAAGGAGAAGAAAAACAGGAAACAAGATGGAGATGATTCTCTGGATGTAAGGCTGCAATATTTCTTTGGTGGGATTTGGATGCTTCTTCTACCAGTCTTTTGGATAAAGGAGTCAAGATGAGGAATGCGGTTACGTGAAGACTTGGGGACTGCACAAAAGCACAGTGGCTTCCAGATGGAAGCAGGTGCTACTCCTGGTCAGGTGCTGCGCCCCATCCCTTCCCCACTCACTTTATCTCAGGAGTGAAAGTGTTTACTTCTACCTTGGAGTTCTTGGTAGACAACCTGTCCTGATACCCACCCTCCCAATTAATCCCAAACTTGGCCTCCCAAGCACATCTGTGCTCTTCTTTTAAGCCATTAAGTTGCCTCAGAGATAACTAGTAATCAAATGTGGGGTTAGCTTGAGCTAAAACTAGCCTCACCCCAGTCACTTAACCACTCATTTACAGTAACTTCTGCCATCATTCATCCTATAATATACCACAATGTACTAGACACTTATCCAGTGAACTCCAACTAGGGCAGTTTGGTCCTGAGAGTTCATAGTCTGCCATTATATGAAGTTTTTTCTTGTCCCCCCCACCCCAACACCTCCCTGCTTCTCACCCCTCTTCCTTTTCATGGGTGAATTTTGTATCCCTTTTTTTTTTCTTGCACTTTTTCAGTTCAGGGTTGTATATTTGTAAATTTTATATTTTTATTATGGTTTTGCACTGTTTTCTTTTGTAAATATTATTTTGACTAATAATGAGAGCTTGGCCAGGACTAACAATTGCAAATTGCAAACAAAAAGATTTCATTGTATTTGTGAATTTGCTATGTTTTGTATACTGTTCAGCAAGTGAGAAGGGGTGTGTCTCTGTGTGTGTGTGTGTGTGTGTGTGTGTTCTTCTGAGTCTGTCCAAATGGAAGAATTGATCAGGAAACCTAAGCCAGGACTTCATTGTTTAAAATACAGTTTAGAATTGCCATCCATTATCTTTCTAGCTCACATCTAATAGGCTATTTGAAAAGTCTGCTCCCCTCATGTTCCTTGTGAATCCTTCTAGACTGCGCCATTGAATGCTTTACTTCACTTAGGGAGATGCGCTGTCTCAGTACATCTCAAATCAGTGTCCTTTGCCCAGAATGTTTGCATAGGACTGGTGATCCTTATGCTGGGTTCAGCTCTTTATTTTCCTTTTGGAAAGAAGAGCATCAGTCAGCCATCGGACTGGCTGCCTTGCACTTCATGGGCCCTGAATAAATGTTTGTTGTTCAACTGAACACTGGAGAGAGCCAGGCAAACTGCCCTCATTCCTGATTGGTGAATGTTTGTTCTCCCCTTGCCCTCATCCATCCTTTTTAGAGTGTAAAGGAAGGGGGAGTGAACAGGACATAAAGACCAGAGTAGAGAAAGATGTAAAACACTACAACCCTCTGTTACCAGAAGCTGTGAAAGACGCTCTAAAGCCTGTAAATAAAATAACATACAGTCAGTAGGTTATTTGTGTGGGGTTTTTTTTTTGCACACAATATGTCTTTTTGTGTATTCTTTGTATATTTGGGTAAGACCACTCACTCATTTTTTTTAAATCACTTTATTTATTTTTTTAACTTCATGGGGCACCCTCTATGTCTGGGGTGATTTTTTTTCTGGGTCTTTCCTCATCCTATATCTAAATATGACATTTGCACCACTGTGGCTGATGCTTCCTGGATAAATGTCATTTGCACACACACCTGAAACACTTTGGAATGGGTGGGTGTCAGACTTTTTAAACAACTGTATGTACAAAATGTTTTTGTAGCCTGATTGTCTTATTGTGATCAATTAAATTTCTTAAGTACAAAGTTTTAAGTTAATGTGTGTTTCCTCTTCCACTTAATCCCTACCTTTCTTCCATTTGTCCACGGGAGTCCTCCAGGAGAACCCTGGGGCCTGGGATATTGCCCAGATGGAGGCTACCCAACCCCACTTCGTTACTGCCCAGTTGCCACACACCTGGCCAGCAGGGGGCTGTTGTTCCATAACTGACAATCTAATGCCAAAGCCTTTCTTATCTCTGCGATGGTGCTGCTTTTGCTTGGATGTCCATTGGCGGTGGCTCCTCAAAGGTTATCAAAATTCTAGAATTTGAACCTTGGAACTGGAGTCCTGTTCCATAATCTCCTCAATTTTGAAAAGGGTAGTGATTGTTTTAATACATAAAATCCCTAACCAAAAAGTAGGGGGTGGGGGAAACTTAGCTATCTAGCTCTCGAAACTTCTTCCAAACAAACTTTGGGCATCAACCTGTTGTTTTTTCTCACCTGAGACCTTTTGTCATTCTAATCCTCTTGGACTCCTGAGCTACTCACCAACCTTCCGTGCCTTCCCCATCCCAGCCCTCCTCATTGCATGATCTGCCTAATTATCAGCCTCTGGCAAAATGCAAGATTACCTTAATAAAGTAAGATTAGTTTCTAAGAAAACTTGATTCCGCATCTGAGTAACGATAGAAACAGAGATCTACCTTCAGCCTTGGAGAAGGGGAAGAAGGGATGTTTGAGGCTGCTTATTTTGTTTTCTTGGCAGGAAGGAGAGGGAGTGTAGACGCGAGCTGACCCAACCTGTTGGGATCCTTCTTGGGTTTAGCTGTTCAGCTTCTTGTGCCTCTTTCTGAGTGAGGCTGTGGGCCAGAATGGTTACACTCAGTTCTCGGTCCCTCCTCATCTCAGATGGAAGCCCAGATGAAAATCCAAGAATTGAAAGTTGCAATGTAACTGGTTGCAGTGAAGGAGGTTTAACTTTAGATAAGGGATGATGTAAAGTTTTAAGAAGCCATGTGAGTGATCTTGAGCCTGAAGAATGGATTGGGGGCAGGGGGCCAAATGGGGACCAGCTTCTATTTGTACACCAGCTCTAACCTAGGGCAGGACCTCCAGAAGTAAGAAGTGTTGGAAGCAGACTCCCACCTCAGCCTCTTGGCCAGCAGGGCCCTCAGAAATGGAGACCTAGTAAGAGCTGGTGGGGATGGGACTAGCTTACCTGCTTTGAACCAGCTTGTATGTTTGAGAGTGGGGGAAGGGGATGAGAAGGTGGTAGACCCAAGTCCAGAAAACTGAATATGAAACATGCTACTTACCTCTTGCCAGGGAAATGACAGATTTAAAATGCAGAATGCATTTTATTTTTGGATGTGGCCTATTTTTGGACGTGGCCTACATGGGAATTTGTTTTGCTGGATTTATGTGTATTTGCTTATGAAGATTTTTTTGTGTGGGGGGGGAACAGTAGGTGGAAGAGAACAAAATAAAAAGTATTTTAAAAATTAATATATTTTTAAAAGAAAGTGGTAGATCTAAGAAAGGGACTGCCCATATGTCTGACAGTATGATTAGACAGAGTTGAGTTTTCCATACCAGGTCTTCCAAAGACATTACCATCCACCCTGGATTCTCTGTTCAAAGAACAGACTATATATAGGGGCAAACACATCCCCTCTAATCTCCTGAGTAATGTTCTCTCCTCTGTCACTGTGCCCTGGGAATAGCACCAAAGAATAGGCATTCCAGGGTGGGGCAAATCAGCCAAGGAAAAAGCACAGCAAGGCTTTTGGCTCTATCCTTAAAACCCTCTCTCTCCCCACGTACTGGAGCTATGCATATTAGTTTGCCAAAAGATAGATGGAATGAATCAGGGGGTACTTGCACCTCCAAAAATACCACCACCACTGACACCAACCCCAATGTCCCAGGTAGCCAGACATTCCTTCATGGGAGTCACTGCTTTTTATTATTTTCTCTCTGTCATAAATTTTTATTTTTTGCTACTCTGAATTTAATAAACATCAACAAATATGAATGGTTTCATATACGAAGAACAGGAAAAAGAAGCCTGTAAATGAAACCTATAATCTCTACTTTGTACAGTCTGTTTTGTTTTTAAGTATAAAAGAAATTCAACATATTGATTACAAAGCTGGACTGCTTCTCTGCCCCACCACTTCCTTTCTTCTCCCCACTGCGTTAAAAAGCAAACAAACCCATGAACTTTACATGCAAAGATTTACATGGATGGATCCAGAGTCAAGAGAACAATACAACCTTTGACCTCAACAATATAAGTGGAAAGAACAATCACAAAGCAAACAAAAGCAGCAAAACTGCAAAGAACAAGCCTGGCTTCAAAGAAGAGGTATGAGGAGACACCCCTTTGCAGAGGTGGAAAGTCCATGGGTGTGGTAGTTACACATATTTTCATACTTTTTCAATGTATTGATCAGGTTTCCTGATTTCTCTTTTTCTTTTCCTTAAAAAATATTATTTGTATTTTATTGGGGCAGCTAGGTGGCACAGTGGATAGAGCACCACCCTGGAGTCAGGAGGACCTGAGTTCAGATCCGGCCTCAGACACATAACACTCGCTAGCTGTGTGTACTCTAGGCAAGTCACTTAACAACAATTGCCTCACCAAAAAAAACCCAATAACAATATATATGAATATAATTTGTTATATGGGATGACTGTTTGGGATGAGGTGGGTGAGAGATACTGGGGAAAATTTTAGTGATAAAAATAAAAGATCAAAATGCATTATTTATAAATAATACAAATAAAAATAAAAATACTTCAATGACACTCTTTTTTTTTGGCATCACCATCACTAGTCTCCCTTACCCCCTGCATCTTCCCTCCAAACAAATTTTTTACTTTTTAAATTTAATTTTTTCCAATTACATTTAAAAACAATTTTTAACATTCATTTCCTAAAATCATGAGTTTCAGATTCTCTTCCTCTCTCCCTCTCTCTCTCCTCTCTCCTCTTTGAGAAGACAAGAAACTTGACATAGACTATAAATGTAAAGTAATGCAAAACATGTATCTATATTAGCCATGTTGCAAATGAACACACAGACCAAAAAAAAAGCCCAAGAAAAATAAAGTTTAAAAAAAGCATGCTTCAATCTTCATTCAGACTCCATCGGTTCTTTCTCTGGAGGTAGATAGTATTTTCTATCAAAAGTCCTTCAGAATTGTCTTGGATCATTGTATTGCTAAGAATAACTCAGGCATTCACAGTTGATCGTTGCACAATGTTGCTGTTATTATGTGCAATGTTCTGGTTCTGCTCACTTCACTTAGCATTAGTTCATGTAACTCTTAAGTTTTTCTGAAATCATCCTACTCATCATTTCTTAGAGCACAATAGTATTCCATTACAGTCACATACCACAACTTGTTCAGCCATTCCCCAATAGATGGGCATCCCCTCAATTTCCAATTCTTTGCCACCCCAAAAAGAGCTGCTATAAATATTTTTATACATATGGATCCTTTTCCTTTTTTTTTTTTTTGATCTCTTTGGGATACAGACCTAATATTGCTGGATCACAGGTATACACATAGTTTTTATAGCCCTTTGGGCATAGTTCCCAATTGTCCTCCAGAAAGGCTGGATCAGTTCACAACTCTGCTAACAATGCATTAGTGTCCCAATTTTTCCATATCCCCTCCAATGTTTGTCATTTTCCTTTTCTGTTATATTAGCCAATCTGATATGTGTGAGGTGGCACCTCAGAGTTGTTTTAATTTGTATTTGTCTAAGCAATGGTGATTGAGAGCATTTTTTCATATGAGTATAGATAGCTTTGATTTCTTCTGAAAACTACCTGTTCATATACTTTGACCAGTTATCAATTGGGGAATGATTCATATTTTTATAAATGTGTCTCAATTCTTTATATATTTGAGAAATGAGGCCTTTATCAGAGGAATTTGCTACAAAATTTTTTCCCTTTTTTTGCTTTCCTTCTAATCTTGGTCCTTTATTGAATGTAATTTTAATTGCATTATAGTCTGAAAAGGATGCATTTAATAATTTAATGCAGTGTTTTTCTGCATTTAGTTGTGAGGTTTTTATGTATACATAGTCATTTTTGTATAGGTACCATGTACCATTGAGAAAAAAGTATATTCCTTTCTAGTCTCATTCAGTTTTCTCCGGAGGTCTATCATATCTAACTTTTCTAAAATTCTATTCATCTTTTTAACTTCTTTCTTGTTTATTTTTTATTAGATTTACCTAGTTTTGAGAGGGGAAAATTGAGGTTCCCCACTAGTATAGTTGTATTATCTATTTCTTATTGTAACTCATTTAGCTTTTCTTTTAAGAATTTGGATGCTATATCATTTGGTTCATATATGTTTGGTATTGATATTACTTTATCGTCTATGGTATCTTTCAGCAAAATTTAGTGTCCCTGCTTATCTCTTTTAATTAGATCTATTTTTGCTTTTGCTTTGAGACCATGATTGCTACCCCTGCTTTTTTTTACATCAGCTGATAGTAATAGATTCTGCTTTAGGCCCTTACCCTTACTCTTTGTGTCTCTGTACTTCAAGTGTTTCTTGTAAACAATGCAGTCAGATTCTGGGTTTTTTTTTTTGTTTTTGTTCTGCTTTTTGCTAGGCAACTGAGGTTAAGTGACTTGCCCAGGGTCACACATCTAGTAAGTGTTTTGTGTTCAGATTCTGTTTTTTAATCCACTCTGCCATCTGGTTCTGTTTTATGAGTGAGTTCAACCCATTCACATTCATAGATACGGTTGCTAACTGTGTGTTTCCCTCTATCCTATTTTTTTCCCATTTATCCTTTTTTTTCTCTGTCCTTTTACCCTGTCCCTCCTCAAAAGTCTGTTTTACTTCTGACTCCTACCTCCCCCACTCCGCCGCCCCTTCTATCACATGCCATCCCCTTTTCTTATCTTTCTCCCCTCCTAATTCCCTGTAGGGCAAGATAGATTTCTATACCCAACTGAGTAGGTGTGTTATTCCCTCTTTGAGCCAATTTCAATGAGAGTAAGTTTCTTCCCCTCC